TTTGTTCCTTTCTCAAACGAAATTCATGGATCCGAGACCACGGCTCGGTGCTGCCAGCTTGCAGTGAACTCAGCAAGTACGAGACATCTTAGCTGATTGGTAGTAGTAGGCGCGGTTTACGGCTGCAGTTTACGGTCGCAAGGACTGCGTAGGCCGACCGACTGAGCTGGTCGACCGCACAAGTGACCGACGAACTTTCGTTGGGTCTATTCCGAAGCCAGATTGCGCGCATACATTTATTTGTTGTCGGATAAGCAATCGTCGGCGAGAGCTCGGCAGGCGAAACAAGACGGCGGCAGTGCGTGCCCTTTGCACATACATGTATATGCTTGCGGCAGTCTACGGTCCATTCGGTGGTCTTCCATTTTTTTCGTTTTAGCTCATGTCATCTGCCCCGGTGTCAAATTGATGAGTGTTCACAAGCGAGGTCGGTCGGCGAATGAAGTCGCGGACTGAGCCGCGCGGTGGGTCCTCGGATGGATCCGGGCAGCGTCGGAGTCAACAAGCAACCGATAGCATATTAAACTCATTCTTATCCGCATCGATATCAGGCGTCGGTGATTATTTCTGTGAGGGTCATAAATCAGCTTCATAACACTCCGTATCGCTCCCTCTCGCTCCGGATGAGTTTGCTTTCGAGTAATGGGCTTCTAATGTCGGGACTTACCTACTCTCTATAAGCCGCTTATTCTGGTCTTCGACGAATAGCGTCGAGCGTGCAAAATCGCTGCCGGGAAGTTTCCGGAGAAGTTCCGTTACGCACTCGGTTCCCGAGATGTCGAAAAGTTTCGGGGAACCTCTTCCTTCGCACACTCGGCGACAGAACGACGTCGTTCGTTCGGCTCCGAACCGTTCCATCGTCGCTATCCCCAGATGTCGTCTCTAATCATGCTCATCGAGAATAGTGATCCTCAATTCCGACTTTTCTGTGGCTGAATGATACTAAGCCAGATATTTCGTCGGGACCATACGAGCCACCCACCCATATGTGAGGTCCCGAAAGTCATAGTACAGGGGTTCCTTCTGCTGGAATTTCAATATAGAGACAATTTCTCTCTTGACTCGAGCCTTGCGCTTTGGACTTCGATCGGGACAGTGCAGACGTTGCGCTGAGCTGCGACGAGTTTTTTCGGGTCGCGAAAACTGGAATCGCTGCTCGCTCAAATGAAGATGCTTGGTGCGCGCTTATGTCGATGATGGAAACTGCGCGGTGGACTCGTTTTACGTCGATGATTTCCTCCGTTTAGACTGTGCGTGATACATTGTGAGGATGGAATATACGATTCGCGAGATGTTTCAGAGCCATGGCAAGATGTTTTACGATCAGCTTGCCAGCGCAGCATCCAAACAACGAACGACCGGCGAGAACTCGACTCAACGTAGTCACGCCACAATTTCTCCGAGCGTATCGTCGCTCCGTCGACAATCACTGGAACTCAAATGCATGGGATTCCCACACAGAATCGGACCGAAAAAGAAGAGACCGGCAGCCGCATGCGCATCGGGAAACTAATTTCCTGTCTTGTTAATTGATACGGCGGATTCGTCGATTGGAGAAGCAAGGGAGCATCCAGTGAGCGCCGCGCCGGCGTCTTGAAACACAGATCCGTCCCCTCTTGAGGTCGAAGCAGCTCGCCGTTTGGGGAGAGCGAATAATCGGCTCCCGGCATATGTGATCCCGGGAAAAGAAGATGTCTCTGAGGGAAACTCGCGTGGGGCAGGATGCAGGATGGAGGGAGGGAGAGGGTGGCTGGCTGGGAGAACCGATGCACCGAATCGGTAGTCTATGAATCACGACGCGGGGCTTAGGCACTTCGGGAACTACATATACCGGAAAAGCAAGGAAAACCCGGCCGCAGGTTTCCCGGCCGAAACAAATTATTCCTAATCCTCGACTCCACGTCGAAGTTTATAAGTCGCGAACCACTCCTCCGACTGACTGACTGATTTATTCAGACACCGTAAACCGATAGGAAGCGGAAGAGAATAATCACCTTGAGCTTGGCATCTACATCCGCGAGAATCCCGATCCAGCCCATGCTTGGTAAATAGCTGAGAGAATGACTGAGGAAAGTCTCCACTTGCCCCTGAAAGCTCAACCGGTATCCCGGAGTAGGACAGGTGTGTTGGCGTCAGAGATGGGTTGGCTGATACTTCAAGGATCGCTTCCCCTCCAGACGAGAATCGAAGCCGCGTCCGACTGCTTGACTCATTAGGGAGTCGGGCGCCGTCGGATGACATGCGCGGAGTTCATGCTTTGACCCAACATGCTTGCCAGCGAGTTTCGAGTCGGTGCGACAGATGAACACCTCGGGCCTATGTCACTCCCGGCCAGGTAGCAAAGTGCCTGTGAGATCACAGTGTAGATGTGACGAAGCAGATACTTGACGAAACTCACACCCCGCTCTGCACGAGCGCCATACACTTGGTCGCTCTCCGAGCGTGACGACTGCGCTTGTGCCGGAAGTGCGACACTCTCGTACGTCCCTTGTTGATTCCCGCGGTGACTGACGAGGAATTTTCGCGAGTCTATCCGCAGTAAGCGTGTTCTTTGAACAAACGAGTACATTGAAATCTACAGTTCGGGCGCGAGCGCCCTCTGTGGGCAACGCACGAGTCGTATCTCTCGATCTTTGGTCATCTCACTGAGCGGCTGAAGCGCTCTTTCTGAGCGAGGCTGGAATGCCGATTAATGTGGATGTAAATACCGGTCCAGGTGGGAGGGAATCGATTCAGAGCCTCGTCCCGTATGGGACAATCTGAATATCGAAGTTCCCTGTTGCCTCGATCGAATTCGCACTTCGGCTCGACTCGATCCCGTACTCGACGTCAGACGTAACGGACTTCGGCTCATCACACCGAGAGATTTCACTTTCCAAGATCGGTGCTCTTCCGGCCGTTTACCACCGCGGTCTTCCATTCATTCACTCACTCATCCCTCACTCACTCACCCGCTCGCTCGCTCGCTCACTCACTCTCTTACTCGGTTGCGGAGCCATACGGAGAAACGGGGGCCAGGCTCGCCGTCTTTCTCTCCGCGCATTCCGTGATAACAAGCAGAGTCATGCCACGGAGCAAGTCTCGAGCGTTCGCCTGAAATGGAACTTCACATTTAAATGGCCCAGAAGGATACAGCACTGTCGTGTTCGCTTCGTACAGATCTGCCGATGACATCAGGTGGGTGAATTAATGGGGCGGTTAGCAGAGCGAATGAATCCGTGTTCGGAGTCGTAGCTCCGATATTAGTCGGCCGACAGGGTTCCCGTCGCCGCCATCGCCGCGCCGCGAGAATCGTTTACGGACCACAAGTTCACACGCCTCACGCGAAACAATGGATCTCTACGTGACGACATGGCAGCCCGGCCGGGTATTTGTGCGACTGCATAGCGGGCGATTCGACCTATTTGGGACCCGAACGCCGGATGCGGATCGACACGAACATGGGCGAATGCGTGCCGATCAAGGCTGACATGTGCAGACTCCACATTTATCGTCTGCTGAAGTTCTGCAATCCCGTTTTTCGTCTCCGCACACTCCTTTCGCGCCGACTCGTCTCAATGCGACTGTTTCAAAAAAGATACAAATCGAGCCATGGACAAGCGCTTCCATCGAAAGTGAATTCTTTCGCGCGAGGCTTTTTGAGTGCCTGTGAATAAACATGGATTCTGAGTGAAAGAACATGTTTTTGGAATTAATATCCATGAGCCCAGCTCAAGCGATCCCGCGGGATCGGGTTCCCTAGACGCCGCCTCGCGTCACGATCGTCTAAATCGGAATTCTTCTCATGAGGGACAGAGTTTTGAACTTGGCGGGGCGGAAAATTTTCGGATGCTACGATTCATCGATTCCGCAGTTTTTTCGTCTCGTGAGCAGCATTCCGCAAACTCGTTCACCTGCGATAAGACGTGGAAGAAAAAGCAATCAGGAGATGAATATGCCGACAATCAATAGAAAGGATCGGAGCAGAGGATGTGTTTGCATTCTGATTACGCCGACCGACTTTCTCTTGTCGTGCGATACCCGAATCCGATCGCCCCGAATTTCAAGGGAAAAGTCGCTGTCAGCCATCCTCATAATCACATTGACATCAGTGCTTGGAGTTTGATCTGCGGTGTCATTCGGTACCGAGCTCCACGTTCCGATGCCTTTCGAATCGTCTGAGAACTTCTTTCCGCTCGAGGAACTCGACACAATGCTGTAACAGAACGAACATGATTTATACTGCGCCGCAAGTGAGTTCCGAGAGCTGACGAAAACCGTCCATAAATCTTTTGTCTTTGCTCGCACGCGAAGTCGCTCGCTTCCCTGGGCGCGCAGGCGGACTACCGACCGCCGGACCGAGGGCTCGCCTGACCGTAAACTGAAATTAATCTCCCTACCCTCGGAGGGCTGAACTTATCAGCTGTTGATGCTGTGAACTGCGAAAGCGGTTCTGATGGCTCGAAGAGGTTCGATCTAGGCGTCGCCTCGTCATCCGGAAAGTACCGGTCGCTCACGGATGGCACCGATCGAGCTGAGCTCACTCATTCGTCGATCACGAATGTGTCAGAAATGATCGATCGGTATCACTTCACATCGACCGGAATCTCCCGGGTGATTCTTCTGTCGTCCTGCACAACCTTACTTTAATGGAAGGGATGGCATTCATACGTCAAGTCGAGCGAACAAGCAAGCGATAGACGACCTCAAAACACCGACGCGTCTCAGCCCAAAGGTCGTCCTCCATTTTCTGTTACACGCTTCGCTCCTTCCGTCGACACCCTGTGGGTACAGTGAAATATTTCTCCAGGGAAGCTGTTCCGTACCGTCGACGGATTAAGAAAATACTTAGTCGGTCGTATTGAAAAAGGGAATAGGTGGTTAAAACGAATCTACTGGTCAGTAGCCTTTTCGATCGGTGGTCGCCGCTCCTGATCCGGGTGGCCTGAACTACGCCGCCGCTCGGATGTTATTCGTTCCCTCGTCAGCATTTCCCCGAAGAAAATAGAATGTTCCGGATGTCAACACAGAGAATGAACGTATCTGGATTGTCCGCACGTGGTGATGTCCGCCGTTCGACTTGAGTGAGTTCTAGAAATAGTCTCAAACCACTCTTTCTCTTGCTAGTACTCGACCGATCGCTTCGTATCCCATTGTCCTGGACATGGAGCACTGAAAACACACCCGATATCAAAACAGACCTCAGAGACCCCGATCCAGCCTCAGGCAAGGATTCGGAGTCTGCTCGAGCCCACTTGTCCCTCGGCTCGATACTTCAAAGGAGCACCTGATACTCGGACGACTTTGCGGTATTTCGTCGAAATGTTTCTCTGTGGCCGACCGCGCGATCCTCATGGTCTCTTCGCTGCATTATGATGCGGACGATCCCATTGTTGACAAATTCAGAATCCATCTTGGCAGATGAAATGGAAAATAGCCAGCAAGGAGCACCGAAAATATCATTGACGACTGACTGAGCGACACTTGCCGAACTTCGGAACAGGCGACATCGACAGTTCGCCAGACGTGACCTTCAACTCGCAGAATATTGCATACTGACGAAGTGACGTCATTCGGAGCGAGCGGGTAGTGTCGAACGGAATCGGTTTTTGGGAAATCTGAGATCGTTTCTCAACTTTGAGATCCGATGAGCTGTAGTATGTATTTCCTCCGGGAACCCCATTAGAGCCCACTTGTCAAGGAGAGAATCGGACGCGACACTCGAAGAATCTGTTCAAACATCGTCGTGTTTTCAGACGGCCAGATCCATTCGAACGACTGACGCATGGTCACGCAAAGCTGCGTCAGAGTTGCGTCGACCGATCCCATGAACGACCACGGTGCACAGCAAGGCTTGTGACAAAACAATCAATTCGGAATGAGTTTCTCACCATTGTTTACATCTCAAACTCACGACGTAGAGATTCTTTTTGAGACGTGAAATCCGAAACGACTTGGGCGAGAGCGTTAGTAGCGCGGGATTTTCTTTCCGGCTGCCATCGAGAGGATCTCCTATTCGTGATCCATCGGCCCGCGGATCGCGACTGTTTCTCCTCCGGAAGAATGAGCCTTCCACATATACTCCTCACCGATACTCCTCACGGTTTCCTCGTCAATGATTAATATGAACGGAATAATCGCCTTGATCCATTGACTCGATCTCATGTAAAACTACTATGATTGTCCCGGGTACCTCGTACCGGTTGATCAGTTACGGATCGCAAGCCCTGGAAGCGGTCTATCGGGCGGGGACGACTATGAGTATGCTATATGGATCGAATCCGAGAGAAACCAGACCGAGATAGAGATTCCTCGAAGTACCTAGTCTCAATTGAGTATTCGACATTTCGTCGAATCACTCTCGGCGGTAAGGGAGCGGCATCCAGTCCGACCTGTTTCGGCTGAAACTTATCCCAGCCGGCTGTACTCCGCACGAGTTAGGCGTTCAATGTATCACCGCATTGCCTCTCCCGAGCACCAAGGGATTCCGTGAGTCCCCTAGATTCGCAATCCAGCGAAGTGCACGGCGGCTTGACGAACCTTCTCATGGAATGGGGAAATACGTCGAAGGAAACCAGAAAGGCCCGCGCAGAATAGACTGCTTCGTCCTACGCCTTCGATTTTTGAGCGTATTATTATCATTATGGATATTCGGACATCGCTCGGTCCGAGGCGACAGATGTCTTCTGTAGTTTTCCGCGATGATCATTTTGGCTGGGAAGATACCATGCCAAGAGATGCTATTTACAATTGGCTGGCTTCGCGGAGAAAGTTCACGGGAATTTTATGGATCTTCTAATCCCTCGTGAAGGGATGCTTGAGACCGAGTACATTCCAAGACCGAGTCGACGACAGTGTGACGCCTCTTACCATTCATCGTGTTAAGATTCCCGGCCGCGCGGAATCGAGTGACCGCAATCGCCCCACCACGAATCGGCGGCCGACACCCCGGTGTGGGAATCGGTAGAGGACCGGCACGGGGGGGGGGGCGATCGGGCTCGGGAAAAATGAACGACAGGGCGAATGAAGACTTCCAATAGTAAACTTCTCCCCGGAAACACCGTCCTCAGCATTCGCTTCACGTGTAACTAAGTTCACTTGCATTGGACCAGCCTCGAGGCGCCTCTGCACTTATCCCGTCTCGCTTCACTGGGGCCGCTGCTAGGATAAGTATGTTTACACTTGTTGGCAATAAGTGCGTCGCCATCAGGCAATCCAGTTTTAATGGAAAGAGAACAATAAAATCGAGTGCAAGACCAACAGCCGCCGAACTTGAAACAAGTGGACAGGTTTTTCTAGCGCCATTATTGTCATCGTTATTACAGGCGACGACCGTCCGCGCCTTTCTAACGATCGACGCCTCATCCGCTCTCTTGATGGGTAATTTTCCGCCAACCCAGTGACGTCTTCCAGTCGGGAATCTCGGACGTTTTCGATGCGCAATTTCCGGTCGAGAGCGTCTCAGCGGAATATTACGCTTTCCGCCGGAGAACATGGACCGCTGGAGACTCTGGACGGATGTGGACAAGGGGAAAAGTGTCGATTAAGTGGTTTCGACTCTTCATCTCTCGGAAAACTCCGCCGGTCTGAGGATATCGATATATCCAGCCGAAACATAACACCTGATATCGTTCGTTTCGAGAGCTCTCAAAAACGCCTCGGATGGAGTTTTCGGACCCTCGACGAGAGGGCGAAACTAAGAACAGAGGGGGAGACGGCGGAATTCAATAGAATTCTCCAGAGAATGACTCTCTCTCGTCGACAATGCGGGGGTCTATTGTAGGGGGATTCTATACCGCATAAAAAGGAAACCTTTCTTCAACTAAGATCTTCGTGGACGCCGACTTTCTGACGAGAGGGGTTGGCTTGCTCGATTCTGTCTTTTATTCTGAGATGAATGCACCATCCGGTAATGCAATACGTCTCGCGTTACAGATGGGGCTCTTTTGACAACAGCAGCGAGCGCCTCGAGGGGGGGAGCCCATTAGAAGAGTCTGACTCAACATGATGCTCACATGGAAACTCCGCTCTCTACTCCATGGCCTATTGAGTTTCTTCCAAGGTCTACTATACAACACCCAGCCTGTCATCGTGTTGCTCCTCGTACGTCATCTCAATCTCGACCGCCGGTGGGGATGTCTGCCAGTGGCACTCATGACCGGTCTAGCAGCCATATCCGGTACGTTCATCAGGATCCGTCTGTTCATTGCGGATGACTATTTCTTTGATTTCGAATCGTGATGGATCAGCGGGATTGAATTGAATTCTCATAGAATCTCACGCTAACGACTCGATTTCACACTGCAGAGGGCATCGTCGGATCCTCGGGTCGAATACATGTTCGTCCACCCCTGATCTTGCCGGTGCTCGCCATAATGCTCACTTGCATCGGCATAGCGTTGTCTTTTCCAATAAACGACGTGGTCACAAGCTACGCGATCGCGTGTGCCGTTTACGGTAAGCAGATACACGAGTGCCGATAATTTTTAATTAGGCAGTTGCACTTATAGTTTTTAGCGGATGTACATCGAGGGCAAATGCCTCGAAATTTCGATATTGCGGGTTACGGTCTGCTGGCATGTCTTCCCGATAGCGGCCCGATCGTCCGTCAAGCTCCCATAGGATCCGTTCGCGAAAGATTGGAGTGATATTCAAAGTGTCTGAGAGATTTTTTTTTTCAGGACTGGGTGTGGGCCTCAGCCGAGGATTTACGTCGGATACGCGAGATGAGGCCGACTCGTATAGGAAGCATGTGAACGGACAGCTCTCGTCTGTGCTCGGGGGCTTCGTTGGCTGTCCTCTATTATTAGTACTCGAAGATCTCGTTACCCTGCGCGGTGCCATGCTAATCTTGGCCGGGGTGAGTAATACGGTCTAAATACCTGATTCGTCAAAATTCCCTTTGAAATGTCTCCGCATGAACGCGTCCGAGTTAGTCGGTCCCGAGATATCCTCGAGAGATCCCCTGAAAGTTGGAGCTCCGCCAAGACGTGAACCCAATTCGACGGCCGTGATTTGCACTCGTCTTGTGAATTTTTCCATCCGGGCGAGGTTCGATCGAAAACCCTCAAAAAGCCGTCCCAGCCTCCGAGCGTTCCCTATCCAAACGAAGCTCTCCTCCGGTTCAAGTCCTCGGCTCGTCTGATTACAGGTTGGTTTGCACGCTATAGCGGTTGTGATCGTTCAGTTTCGTGACAAAAGATCGCCGGTCTCACCGTGCTCGCCACCGATGGCTCCAGCAGAAGCGCCAAAACCGCAAGAACACACTCCCGGTGATATGAATACGCTCGGAGACTCACGCTCGGTCAGGTCGAACAAGGCAATCGAGCTACGTCAAATCATCGATTCCAGTCAGCGTTCGGCCGCGCCACCGGCTCCCGTCCTACTTCCCCTGAAGATCGCCGGTAAACTGCCGTACTCCGCGCAACGGAAAAATCAGTCACAACAGTTCGGCTATCGGCAGAGAGTGAACTCGGCAGCCGAGCGCGACCTCAGTCTCAAAAATCACCTAGCTACGCTGAAGCCAAGCCGTCGGCGTTTGAACACCGAGCCCAGCAACGTCAATTTCAGCCTGAACATCGTCAACCAGATTATTTCCCAACAGCCGGACAGATCGGTGAGCGTTGACGTTCTCCCCGATTCGAGTGTGCTTCAGACAACCTTGCATCGGAGATCGGTTTCACAAGAGAGCATCTCGATCCTCACGCCGATCGAATTGCCCGTGCCGTTTGCAGAAGCCGTCATCCGAACCCTAACGACTCCTGCCTTCGTTCTCTTATTGTTGACAGCGGTATCGAATTGTCATATCTGGATGATCTCCTCGACCATGTTGGATGCCTTCGTCGACATCCAGCTGATCGTTGAGGATTCAACTTTCATACGAGCCGTGTGTCTCTTCCTAGTCATGGCATTAGCGAACGTCACCGGTATCTGTTTCTGCAATTTCCTCTTGCGCACCTTCGACATTCCAGAGAAGACGATCGTCTTGCTGACGAATTTCATAGGCGGCTCCTGTCTGCTCATGACACCGTTCCTGCACAATTTGGTCGCGGTTGTGTTCTGGGCGGTGGTTCTGGGCTTCGTGCAGGGAACTTTGGAGTTTGTTCAGCCGAATCTCGTGAGCTTGTATCTGGGTCCCCGAATGAGACAGTGCGGCATCGGAGTACTGAGGATATTCGTCGGCCTCTATCTCATCGTTGCCTTGCCTCTATATGCGCATTCCTATCGCGATGCCCGCGAATCATATGATGTTCTCTACCAGATTTTCGGTCTCTTACAGACAGGTATCACCTTCTTGTGGCTTTTCCTCGAACCATTTTTCGACAAGCCGCAGACTGGGGGTCCTGTTTTACTTGACCACGAAGTTTGCTGAGAAGGGTTTTTCCAGTCCGAAGGAATGTCACCGAATCGGAAACTAGCGGCCGGCATAGACAGCGAGAAAGCTATGAACATGAAGGTCATGACGAGTTGCTGCCCCAGTGAGCAGGAGGCGCGGGTCCTAGCCATGTACGAGACCGCCCATTGTAGATATAAAGCGTCATCATTCCACACATTTATTTATTCCTGCTGGGCATGTAAATAAATTTTTGCGGACGTCGATTCCGTTCTGTTTTGATTAACTCTTCCATGCAGGTGAGTCATCGGAGCGTATGGAAACACGTGCCGGCCGTCGAGCTCGAAAATCGAAAAGCTTCCGAGGTATCGGGAACGATTCCCCGGAGGCGATTTCCACATCTCATTCTCTGCGAAACTCGGACTCGGAGGTGGATCTACAGGAAATTCCGCTAATGTCTGAATTCACGCGGTCATCTTTTTCATACTGGCTCGGGCATCCGCGCCAAGCAAGAAATGCAATGCTTGTGACTTCTCCATATATTATACTTTCGACATCAAAGCCTACCTGCATGTGATGCGCCTCGATTATCGTTTCTCTTTCCTGCCTCCCATCCTTCCTTCCTTCCGGTCTCAGCTCAGAGGAGCAGCAGGTCGGATGGCAGATGGGGCTATTTAAATTTTTATAGGAAATATGTCCATCAGCTGTCATAACTGCGGATGGGAGGAGGATAAAACTTGACCATATATTCCTTGAAGGTGTTTTGGACCCGGGCTTGTGTCATGATGGAACGAGGAGGCGCCCGTACAGGGCTCCCGATTCGCATCATTTCGACACTCGCGCCGCGCCGACACAGCTACCCTAATGGTCTTAGAACCGGGTCGTCGCTGTAGAATCTAATCAGCAAGTCAACAACGGCATCTGAGCTTTTCTCCGACAATGGGTTCTTGTACTGCTGAGGACAATTCGATTCCAGACACCATTCTTTTGACATCCACTCCTCTGACTGAACCACGAAGCGAACTTTCGAGTTCAAGGATCCTGCGCTATTGAAACTTCGGGAGGGGCCAACAGTTGACTCGTATCCATCACATGTCGATTGCCGAGCTGGGAATTCTTCCCCGATCTAAAAATACTTTCGAGTGCTAATATTGAACTAGGATGGAATCCAGCCGGTACCGGCAGGTGTCCGATTGAGTCCCTCACTGATTCCGCGGCCGCACTCTGATTCCCTGCTGCGAGGGTGGAATATGCGCCGCCGAGCTGTCCACTCTGATTTGACTAAGACAGATCGAGACGAAAAACGGGATCGGTCGCTCGCGATTCCGGTCGACCCAGCTCGACACCGTAGCTTGATCTCCATCGAGAACAAGAAATCTCGAACGATGCTCCGAGTCCGAACTCCGAACGTATGCTGCTTGTGTCGTGTCTCGATATAAACGCGAATTCCAAGCGACGAATATTTTTCCCGCCACCTTCCGAATGCCCCCTACACCCCCATCGTACCCACGGAGAGGCGGAATCTCGAGAGCGCACGCTTTTGAGAGTCGCTCCGATCTGAATTCCCATTCCCCGACGAGTCTCAGCTCCTCTCTCAGCAAACACCGGAAAAAAGGATTTCAGTTTTGTTTATCTTTCGGAGCTATTCACACGGCTCACAGTCCACACACTGCTTACCTCAATCAAAGAAGCCAGGATTTGTGACAAGCGCCCCTCTGACTGAGCTCCAGAGATATCTGTCCAATCACGGCTAGGAGGAAGACACCCCCTGCTTCGATCCGGAGTTTCCGAAGATCACATGCGATGGGATCCTGCTCTCGGCCCCAGAAAGCGTTATAAGTGTCACGAGATCGAAGCGTTCTCCCCTGTCGACACTCGAAAAACAAATCTGAGTGCCAAGCCCTCCATCGATGAGTGGACGTCTAAGGAGTCGGACGAGGATCGGAGGAGAGCTTCGACTGACTTGACGATTAATGACAGAGACCCTATTGCACTGCTCTTCTCCAAGCAGGAGCATCGCCGCCATTAGACGTGTCGCCTTATTGGAAGCTCTGTTGCCGATTTATATTGCTTCGGGTGAGGGTTCGCTCCGCTGACCGCATGGCCTCTGCAAGCTGCTCCCTCGGCTTGACGGCTCGACGCACCGGATCTACGTTGTCTGGTTCGCTGAATCAAACGTACGTCATTTCGCGAACATTAGCCCCGCGGGTCGAATTCTTTCGGTGAGGAGCGATCCTCGCCTCGGCTTTCACGTCGATGTGCGATTGGGTCTGCATTGGGTCTACGTGCTTTTGGGGTCTCGATTTTCGGAGATCACCACAAGTCGCTCCTGCTCGATTCGAAGCAGATGGTCGGCGGCTCCATCGATACGGGGGATGTCTCCCAGAGAAGCAATCCTCCCTGTCCCGAATAAGACACGGTCTTCGACGCTTGCGTTCTCGCAGCACGTCATAATTCTGTGGAGTGAAATTTCTTCTCCACCTGCCGCATCGCCAATGACACCGAAGTTCTCAAGCGTGCCAATTGCAGATTCGGGAATGCGCAGGAAGCGGAACGTGAAGCGGACTCACGTTCGCCCGAGATGCGGAGAACCTCTCCAGATCCCGAGAGCGGAAGCCAGACTAGGCAGAACGATCATGCGGTGTTTCCAGAAGTCACACCTTTCCGAAATTCCTAATGCCCGGTATGAGGCAACCATATATTACCGCTCATGAGCTCATCCATAGGCCTGCGGGAGCTTATCAACGGACTAGTGTAGGGTAATCTACGCGCATTCCCTGGCTTTGAGGTCATCCACGAGGGATTCATTAAGTTGAGCGATAGGGCAACTGATGGGTGGGTCGGCCGATCCGTTCTCGCTACCAGCACTGACGCAGGCAGACTTAACACCTGGACATTACTCGGTGGGTCGCTTGTTCTCCGTCGTCTCCGCCGACCGTCCGCAGGTCCCTGCGCCGAACTATCGTGCTCCAGTTGGACAGATGACGGTGATCGGAGACACCATGCGACTCCTTATATTCACAGCATAGTGCCATGATCCCCTGTCGATTATTTATCTACCTGCGAGGAAATTCATCTTCGTGCAGGCTACGACAAGAGTGACATGAAATATTCATTCGACGATAAGACGGGAGCGATTCCGTATCCTGAGTCCCGCTCGGTGTTTCATACCACCTCTCGCGAACAGACACTGCTCGTGTCTTGTGCAATCGGACTGAAGAAAATTCCGCCCTCGTTGATCCTGAGCACTGGGCTCGAGTCAATCTGGGAGCTCCCGTAGATTTCGGTTGATGATGTTCTGACTTCTTTTCTCTTCTTTCTACGTGCCCCTAGCTTTTTTTCCAGGAGTGCAGGATGTGAATCCGGCGTCTCCGCCACTTGTCACGTAGCGGCCATCATACGTAGACAGTCAGTCTCTGCGGATTCAGCCGGTGCCGGGCAGAGACCCCGTTCGCTGCAGAAGCCGCGACGAGACACAACAATCCCGGCGGCGACAACAAGCACAAAAACGTCACCGACACACAAGAGATCGGACTGAATCGTAGACATGCGAATTCCTCCTTGTCATAAAGAGCGACAGAAGTAATCCAACACGACAGGACGCGTTTCGTAGCGTTGACAACTTGTTGCTCGCGTTTCGCTAACGTGCCTTCAACTTGACTGGAGAGAAGCGTTTCCGCTAACTCGAAATTCCTGTCCAGCGGTGAGATTCTGCTCGAGTCGAAACCTACCAAAACCCATCTCGTTTGAGGTAGGAACACGAGGTCAAAGAGGAGGGGAGAAATTGAAATGAATTTCCGAGAGAAATTCCCCGGACCCGTCCTCTCGGCGGGAACTTCCCGCGGAAAGTATCACGTTCCGGGGTCATAGAGACAGGGACGCACAAGAGCCGCGACATTCCATTACGCCAGCCCCGTGCCGTTTCAAAGAAGAAGCTTCCAGCCGGTCTTTCTGTTTTTGCCTTGTCTCTGAACTGTGGTGGAGCTCTCAAAGTGCGCATGTGTCATATTTCCCAAGAAATTCCGGTCCCGGCTTCGAACTGGAACGACTTCGTTCCCTGCCCGCTCGTGGATGTTCGTCTTCAAATTCCATGCGTCGAACAAGCTCCTCGTTCAGTAGAGCTTGCGAGCGATTCAGTCTGCCCGAGAAAATCATCTGTCTCCCGGGGGTCGAATGCGAAACGACGTCGTGTGTTACGTCAAAGCAATCTTCCACGCTCTCCAAAATAACTGTCCATCTGTTTTACATGCGTATCTTACCGGCGAGTAGATCGACCCGTTGCGATGAAACCGACCGAAGCGCTCACCAGTTTGAGATGACGGCGAATCCGAGCATCATCGATCGCGCACTCGACATCGATTGTGCACTCGGAGAGCTACGAGAGATACTATTTTAGTGTGAGCTCTAAGCGTCGATTTGCTGCTCACTCGACGTGGTGATTGCAGTTCTTATTCTCGCTGGATCTATCAGATCGGCGGAGATCTTCTGTCGGAGAACGATAAATGCCCACATCCTACGTTGGAGTTCACCTTATGATGGTGACGGAGAGCGGGCGATAGCATGGGGTAGCGGCTAAGCGTCTCGTGCCTAAGCATTATTCACCTCAGTCGGTCATTCCGCGTATTCCGAAACAACTTAAGAGGGTGTGTCTAGTTTCATCTGCTAAAAGCTCCGACCGTTCATGGGACTATGGAAGTCAACCAGACTCGGTTTACCCACTCTCCGTACGAGCGTTCGATGTCGGATATCCGCTCCGAGAATCGAGCTTACGATGACCGCTCGCTGATGAATCTAAGGTAACCCCTGACGCCTCAGGGAATGACCGACTCGTTCACGGCCCTCAGGTCGATCGTCGGATCGTTATTCGGCATTCGGGAGTTGAGCCTGCCGGAGTCTACAAACTTGACTAATGAGCCCACGGTGGGTGGGCCGTCGCAAGTATTACTCCCCACGATGCACGGAAACTTTGTCGGCATAGTACCTGTCCTCGTTGTATCCCGGATTTTCCATTCGAATCTAACTACCTCTCGTAGAGCTTG